ATTTGAAACACGCATAACAAAAGAAAGTGAAATGGTTAAACATTGCTTTGTCATTATTGTGTTCAGTACTGCTATGCGAGTTGAGAGTTGAAGGCAAAACAGTTATCTAGCATGGTCAGAAACTCGATCTGGATGAGAAGCCAGCATTCATCCACCTAACTACATGCTGTCCCGATATAAAAACCTAGAATCAGTATGTCATAAAGCGTGACACCTTTTACCGTAAGGGGGCATGGTGGTGTGCCTGTTTTGTTAACAAAGAGGCTGACAAGGGATGCTGGCCCAAGGCTTGACTGACAGCTCGGAAAACCGTCTTGACCTCAGGCGAACTGGCGTGCGGGAAACCTCTCAGGTGGAGTTCCGAGTTGTCAGTCGATTGGAGCTTGGGTTGCATGCTGCTCTCATGGTATCTGTCTCCTTGTTGACTAAACATCTAGTAATAGTGTAGCGCTAGCCTTGGCTGCTGCGCTAATACATTTCAGTGTTTGTGAAAAAAGTCAGCTTCAGTCGCTGAACAGTCAACATCTGTTAACACCTTCTGCAGACAGCAAAAGGTCTATTCATTCGCGACGTCTCATTCCAGAATGACTTCTAGTATATCTTTGCAGATGTCACGTGTGAATTGATACTGATTCTGGAAGCTATCAACTTAGGTTAGCAGTGACTGTCATCATTGACATGTATTGAACCTCACGTTCTGTGAGTGTTCCCCCGATACTAGTTGCACAATTTGTAAGTGCCCCCTTTGTTACAATCCCACGTGTGAAACCAGTAGCTCCATGTTTTGCAAAGTGCTGGACGTTACAGCATTGCACATAGCTTACACTGAGCTGAAGACGTGGCTGCTACTAGAATTTCTACTGTGCTGTTTTGACTCATTTTTAACGAGTCCAAAGATATGCCAGTGATAGGTATATGTCTTCTTAGCATTTAAAAGCGTTTAGAAAGATGTCGATTGCTGTCTCGCACATATTTTTTATGTTTATTTATTTGTACTGTTGATCCCATCAGGGATCATTACAGAAAGGGCATATTGGACATATCTTGATTGTTCTCCATCTGGGAGGTTTCCCGTCGTCCAGTTCACCTTAACGCTGCATTTTTCTGTTACTCATGCCTCAGCAAAACTGTTTCTGTCTTCTGCTGACCCTTTATTTTAGGCTGCCGTATCCATCAATACTCATTACCATTACCTGCTGCCTGGAATGACAACAATGTGAACTTTACTGTACTGTGAGCTGCTGTCTGCTGCTAACTTGTGATCTTTTTTTTTTTAAATTGTGAGGGTCTCACGAGTGTCACGAGTACCACAAAGACTGTGACATTCTTTCTTGTTTGTGATGTGTAGCAGCACAGTCAGCTAGAGAATTATGTGCGTGCTTTAGAGCTATGAGGGACTTCCACTGCATGCAATCTAATCCCCTGTGTTCAAATGTTTGTGCCAATGTAGCCAATGCATCTTTGTTGGGATGACACAGAGAATGCATGGTGCACAAGGTCTGTCACTGAGAAAGAAATGGTCAAAGCACCTTTATTTTTACCTTTGCATGGAGTCTTGCGGTAAGAATAGGTGGAAACGGTAATGTTCATGTTGTTCACCTGTGCAGTTTATGGGAGAAATGTTAATGTACTTTTACATATATCCTGGTGTGAGCCAGTGTAGTCTGTCTGCAAAGAGGCTATGTGCTCCAAAATGAGGGTGTTGTTGATGTAGTTGAAATCGGCTTTAAATGCCACTGACGAAGTTTTTATGGTCAAAAGTTGCACCCTGACTTGTGCTTTGAAACTGTGCAGAAGTTTTACTCTGTCTCAATAGTACGTTGCAGCATGTGGTTGACGCATAAATTTGTATGCTACAGGGAGGATGAATGCAGCGTCTTCCTTTATTTAGAGCGAAATGCGTTTTGAGAATTTCCCCATCTTTCTACATGGCCCTCAGTGGTACAGAAAAATTCTTACGTTCATGAAAAAAATAAATAAATAATGACAAAGTTTTGTGGTTTTCTTCCTCATCTGGTATTTCAGTTGCCACGGTCCTCTAACATTTATGTTAGGTTATCGTACAAACGGTTTTTCGCGTCCTACGAATGCATTGCTACAACAGAGCCGATCAGACCTAGCGAAGAGTAAAAACTTGTTTTTACTTAGCTTTTATGTTTAGAGCTTCCCATGGTTTCACTGTTTTTTTGCAGCCGAACGTGCTAGTGCACCTTTTAGCTTTACTACACCCCCATGATGTGTACTGTGATTCTTGATTCAAAAAGCCATTTAGGGTGCACATTTATACGACCGTTAAATGAACAACAATTTTTCAGACTATTACTGCTGTAGTTACCGTAATTACTCGAATCTAATGTGCACCTTTTTTCCGGTTAGGCGAGTTCATAAATCGCATGCGCGTTAGAATAGAGTACGAAAAAAAAATGAATACGGTCGTTCTATTGCCATTGGCATTCAAAAATGGCCGCCCCCTACGTGCGTCGGCATGTCACGTCGGCATGTCACGTCGGCCATTTCTGCCTATGTGTTTCCCATGTGCGGCACTTCGTACGTGTGCTGAGAAGTTCGTCATCTTGGTGTGCATTAGCATCGACGGCACGGAAGGGCCGACTCCAAAAACTCGACGAGTGCACCACGGTGCCGCTTTTCAAAGAAAAGTCATCCCGTGTGCCGAAACGGACGTAAATCGGGCTGCATCGCGATCGTTCGGAGTTCCCGAAACGTGCGTGCGGGACTGGCGGAAACAAAAGCAGAAGATTGTCGACAGCAAAGCTTCACGCAAAGGCTTCAGTGGACCACAGCAAGGTCGGTTTCCGCAAATTAAAGAGCTGCTCGGCGAGTATGTGTTTGAGCAGCGAGCGGCACGGCGGCCCGTGACGACAGAACTGCTCCAAGTGCGGGCTATGCAATTAGTCTTAGAAAAAGGTCTAATGCGGAGCCAGTTTAATGCCAGCAGGTGCTGGCTAACTAACTTTATGAAGAGGAAAGGCTTTTCCCTCCGAAGGGGAACGGGAATATGCGAAAAGTTTTGCGGAGGAGTACGATGAAAAGCTTCACAGTTTTCAGAGGTTCATCCTAAACTTGCGGCACAACAACGGCTACCTGCTTGGGTAAATCGGGAATGCCGATCAGACGTCTCTTTACTTCGACATGCCTGGCACCACAACTGTCGAGAAGAAGGGGGCGAAGCAAGTTCGCGTGCTGACAACGGTCCACGGTAAAACTACAGTGACGGCAATGCTTTGTTACACGTCAGATGGGCACAAACTTAGCCGTACCTCATATTTAAATGGAAGACGCTCCCGAAAGGAGTCGTTTTTTCGAGTGGTGTGATCGTGCGGGCCAGCGAGAAAAATGGGTGCGCGTTGCAATCGATGTCTTACGTTTTTTTTTTTCGTCATGGAAATCGGGTGCACGTTACAATCGAGGGTGCGGTAGAATCGAGTAAATACGGTAATGTGCGTTAATGGAAGTTGGTGGCAATTTATCTACGGTTGTACTTCTGTTGTGCTGATTTGCAATCCCAAGGAGTCTACATCATGGCTATACACTTTACTAATGAGACTGAGTGCAGATTTTTTGCCTTAGTCATTGCAGTCAAGGAGGTGGTTACAGGATCACCAATATTTTAACTTTTTGCATTGGGTTGTATTGAAACCACTCGAGGTTGTTTGAAGCAAGCTTGCTCTTCGTGCACGTGATCAAAAACAGAGTTTGTCTTACCATGTTGCAGATACGAATAGTTACGTCATTCTCTGCCCCACAATAAAAGGCAGCGCTTGAAATCGCAGTTTGTGTGCGTCTATTTGTCTCTGTGTAGCCGATTACCTTTTTAGCAGAGGGAAGACCTAAAGAGAGAACCAAAAGAGACAATTTCGAGACGGGTACTAACTTGCATTTAAAGTTTATTTGGAGTATACAACACAAGTAATTACGAGTGAGAGCGCAGATGACACCATACATGCAGAAGTGACGAGCATATGCAATATTAAATCAGATGATAACGAGCTTTCTCAAAATTTCTTTACTGATGCAGTGCACTACGGATGTGTCGCCAACACAAGCCTTCTCATTTTGACTGAAAACACCCTTTCAATACCTTTTGATGCCCAGGTTTGATTGCTGAGACAACTAGATTTCTTTATTTTTTTTATGTGGTCATATTGCTGAGGCCAGACAAACATAAAGGGAAAAAAAATTACGTAAGGTGCAATCATAGTATCAAGGCCAAACAAGCCAGCGAGGCAAAAGTGGGCAGGGGTAGCCCTAGCAATGATCTCACGTTTGAAAGAACTAATGTACATTTACAGTAGCTCCACTCCTGCTGGCAACAATCAAGTAGGACATAGTTGGTAATTACAATGATAGATTTACATACTTCAGTTGTGCTCTTTCTCACAAAATCTTGTCACCAGAGCTGCCACTAACGTCTCTGGGTTCCCAAAAAACCTATACATATTATGGCATACGGAAAGTTCTATAAGAAATTTGAATATAACTGACATTGACGGAACAAACTGAACATGTCAAAGTAAACTTAAGTTACTTGTCATCATATCGGCACATCACGAATGCATATTTATGAAGAATATTAGATGTGATGGAGGTGTTCCTGCATGGCATGCAGCTTCTCTATGTTGTGAACACGTGAAAATGCATTTCTGTGGTGCCGTGGGATAGGTAAATTGATGAAGCTAAGAAACGTTAAAGCATAGTCTTAAGTAGAATGATGCAGCATGTGTATAGATGAAGTTCACTCAAAGGGGCCTTCATTCTTTGCTGGACATAAGTGAGGTGGTGATGACGTTGATTCTTATTGTTTGGTTAACCTATTATAGCACCAACACTCACTATTAACCGTTACTCGAGCGCACTCCTGCCAAAGGGAAACCTGGTGCTATTCGTCGCTGCTGTTGCGGCTGCTGCTGCTGCTTCTTGATGTGGCTGTGTGTGGCTATTGGCTGCGATGTGAGTGCATGCATTGGCAACCCCCCATCCAGGGAGCAGCAGCTTTCCCAGGCCAGGGAAGAACTGCGGACCATGTTGGAGCAGGCCAAAGGCAGGGCAGAGGAGGACCAGCGCAAGTTCAGCCAGATGTCGCAAGAGGTACATTCGGTGTACTCTCAACTCTTCATTACATGGCGTCCTCATTATTGCACTTTTACAACTCCATTTCCTTCTTTACGTACGTAGCTGTCTCAATTGGAGTCAGAGCTGGAGCGTAACCGGTCGGTCCGAGAGCTGCTTCAGAAAGTGCAGGACGAGAAGCACCAGCTCGAAGCTAAGGTGGCCGAGCTGAAAGCTGCAGCGGCTGCTGCTTCAGCTGTCAATGGCAAGGCATCTGTTCCTGCAGCAGCCCCAACTGTCAGTGCTGCACGTTCAGCGGATGGAGGGGGTAAGTATTTGAGGGTATAGGCTGTAGTAGCTGTAGGGTGTTGAGCACAAACTATGATTTGGCAGCTTACGTAGCTATACTTTTGTAAGCGAAGGTTGCAAGTGTGCCGGCATCAATGAATGCGGGTGCACTGCTAAAGAAACCTAGGTTGTTAAATTTAATTATCATGCCTATATTTATTGAGGTGTTATTCTTTGTTAAATTATCAAAGACATTTGATAATTTATTGAAGAACAACACCTCAATAACTATAAGCACTGAATGATCAACCAAAGACGTGAGAATCATCGTAGAGCATCGTTTAGTGCACCTTTTTTCTTTTGGAATAATAATATACGTCAGGCAAAAACTTTCAATTGTGAAAATTAGGTGACCCTTAAATGTGGAAAGCCATATTCAGGTAATCTGCACATTACTATAACGATTTATGCCCAGTAGTTGCACATGTCTGAGTGTTTGCGGCATGTCTTTCAGTGCAGTCAGCCTGTAACTTGATGCAGTGGTGTTGAATGCTAATTATACAGGAGAGAAGCATTGTTTATTCTTTTTTTTTTTCTGTTCTCAATTATTATTGAAGTCAGTCTGCATGATAATTTTCTAAGCGCCATCAGAATGCATAGTATGCTCGAGTATGGTGGGATCGAAAATCTGTGAACTTAAAAAGGACTCATGGCAATTCTGAAATCGTCAGTGAGTTTCACCCGCACCAACTGAAGCTTTCTTGTCTGTATCTGGGCTGCAGCTGTGCTGTGCACTTTGGCAGACTATATTGAGAAATGATGTACTTCGCTGCCGTGGACGGGAGCAGAGCGGGTCACACTCTCAAGGGTAATCTTGTACAGATACACAAGCACCCAGCAAAGTAGATGGAAGGATTGTTGCTGTGACAGCTTCATTGGTTAGGCACTTAACATGCACTGCAAAAAATGTGTGTTCGGCTCCTGCCTGTGACAAGCTATCATTTCGTACATTTTCGTACTCCAGTTACTGTCTTATTTCTCGGTTTTATTAAAATAATGTTAATCTGTTCTCTCCTGTCCTCCCTATGTCTTCATTGTTTGTTTGCTTTTTATGTCAGTAACTAACCAAAAAGATTAGTCCCTTTAGATCTCTTTCATACATAAAAATAAATGTGGCAGGTAATGTAGTCATACATTAGCTGACTAGACCTGTGAACGCTTTAGAAGAAAACTCAAGACTCTTTGCAAGTTAGCATTGGGTGGCCGATCATTCCTCGTATTGTTCCACACCTTTGCTCGTAGTTCAGGACACACAGCCGCACTTCACTTTTGCAGTTTTTTACTAACAAGCTATACAAAGCATGGAGAGTTGCAAACAAAATACGAGGTAGAATAATGTGGCTTCAAAATAGTTGACATTCAGGTAAAGCTAGTTGACCTCAGCATTTACTGATTAACTGTCAACATAAACCGTATTTACTCGCATAATCCTCGTATTTTTTTTTGCCGGAAAACCGATGCAAAGTTGGAGGGTGCGAGAATTATGCGGGGAAAACTTTCCACAAAAACATAGAGAGGGAAAAAGAAAACGAAGTGGCCACAAATCGGGATTCTCACACCAGCACCTTACAGCAAGCTTTAAGAAGTACTAATTAGAACTTACCTCAACAATAAAAGCAGAGGTTCAACACAAGACAAGATTTATTTGAGGCACAAAAAGTGGAAGCAAATAGTCTAGAATTAAAATGCCACACGCAAAGCTTGTGGGCGTTTCGGGCGTAGCAGCTAGTGCAAGCTTGTGTTCTCTGTTTGCTGTTACTTCTTGAGTGGCTCTAGCAAGTTGGTAAAACGGGGCTTTCCGTCGATGCAAGGTGAGCGTGGTGACACCCCCCACCCCTCTGTTTTCTTGTGTGACCACTGTTCAGAGTCTTGGCTTCGTAGATGCATGCAATTAGTATTCTTCGTGCTTTACAGGTGGAGACCTTGCCCTGAAAGAGGAAAGAGACAGTCTTCAGATGCAGGCGAGTTATAATTTTTTTTTACATACGTGTAAGAATGTAAAAAAACAGGCCACCTGAATCGCAGCATTTTGCAAGAAGCCAGGCAACAGTGCTTGATGTTAACTAGGGTATATGCATGTGTGGAAAGTTGCCAGCAGAAGCGTGGCATTTCATACTGAGCTACCGTACTCATCAAGTTTGATGCTGATCATTTTCAACTTCTGTTCATGCTTTCATAATGCCTGCTCGAAGTTTCCTGCCTTCTCTTCAAAAGTAGTGCATCATCCAGGCCTTGTTTTTTGCTGCAGTATATGACACGATCCATTCGTAATTTAATCCAGCAATGATAAACAGTGGCTCAATACGAAATGTTATAGCCAGCATTTCAGCAAACCTACCCACCTTCGTTATCTGATTCATCGTTTACCTGTCAAGATGTGTTGCTACTGGCTTACGTGATAAGCAAGAAACCTACGAATAGGGGGAAGGGAGTTGTAACTCTGCTTTTTGAAAAATATTATGAGTTAACACACATTCACTACATTTATCCACTTTTAAATAATTTACATTACAGGTGGACTTCCTCAACTCTATAATCGTGGACATGCAACGAAAGAACGATGATCTCAAGACACGTGTCGAGATTCTAGAGGCGGGCCCTACTCTCGACGACATCGACATCAACCTGTAAGTTTGCCTGTTCTCTTTCTATTTCAGGCTGATGCGCAGAACACAAAAAGGTGAAGCTACTATATTTAGCTCACATGGGAGTGGTGTTGGTGCTAATTGGGTGTCAGCATAAAGTGTCTCTGGTCTTTTGCTGTTTTTCACTAACAAGCTATACAAAGCATGGAGAGGTGCAAACAAAATACGAGGTAGAATAATGTGGCTTCAAAATAGTTGACATTCAGGTGAAGCTAGTGGACCTCAGCATTTACTGATTAACTGTCAACTCATGTTATGAATTACCGTATTTACTCGCATAATCCTCGCACTTTTTTTGCCAGAAAACCGATGCAAAGTTGGGGGGGGGGGGGGGGCGAGAATTACGCAGGGAAAACTTTCCACGAAAACGTAGAGAGCGAAAAAGAAAACGAAGTGGCCACAAATCGGGATTCTCACACCAGCACCTTACAGCAAGCTTTAAGAAGCACTAATTAGAACTTACCTCAACAATAAAAGCAGAGGTTCAACACAAGACAAGATTTATTTGAGACACAAAAAGTGGAAGCAAATAGTCGAGAATTAAAATACCAAGCGCTAAGCTTGTGGGCGTTTCGGGCGTAGCGGTAGCGTTCGTCGCTCAACAGGAGCCCTCAAAAGGTAAGCATAGGACGTCAGTATTGGGCTGATGGCTATTCAACAGAATCGTCCGCAGTTTCCTTCTGAAAAAATGAAGTTTACCATCAATCCCAGTTTTAGGCACACGGCAGGCCCAATGCGTCTTGGTGGCTTTCAGCTGCCGTCACTAGTAACGAACACAAAACTCGTAGGCTTCGAAGGGCCTACCGGCGGCCCTGTTACCGTTGTTTAGTGCATGATCCATCACTTGCAACTTGAAGCAGCCGTGTAGCTTCAGTATCGCCCCATAACGTGCCAAGATTACGGACACAACAAACAAAACACGCCGCAACGCGCACTGGTCTCTTCAACTTGGCTTGGATTGAATTGAATCTCTGTGCAATAGTACGCTTGATGCTTAAGAGATTGCGCTAGATGGCACGCGCTATCATCATCAGTGGCTTGAACAAGCAGACGACATTATTGCGGCAGTTTTCAGGGGTGTGATAATTACTCGAGGAAAAAAAATGTATTTTTCTTGGGCGATGTGGGGGGTGCTAGAATTATGCGAGTGCGAGTATTACGCGAGTAAATACGGTAACTTTCTTGGTAGCCTTAACTATCATGATCGCTGAGAGGATCCTTGCAGACTGAAGCACACGTGGTATGTCTATATCTTACTTTACCATACTCAAAAAATTGTACAAACACCATGTTACCACAAATAAATTTTTTTTTCATTCCATTCCATTCCATGTTACCACCATGCATCCAAAGCTACACATACCCAATATTTTCATAAGTCAAACTGTTTTGTTTCCACTTTCAGTAACGGCATCAAAGCTGCTGTGCCTCCGCGCTTGTTCTGCGACATCTGTGACCGCTTCGACGTTCACGACACGGCTGACTGCCCCATCCAGTGCAGCATGGACGAAGAGATGGTGACGCACAGTCACCATGGCTCCCCTAGGCGCTCGAGTCGACCGTACTGCGACGTCTGCGAAATGTTCGGGCACACGAGCACAGAGTGTGACCCTAGTGAAACCTTCTGAGTGTGACATCTTGGACATAGAACTGTTTAAGACTGTGGACTTGCCGAGACTTCTTCAAGCACGCAAACAGGTGTAACTGTCTCTGTGCATGCGGTTCGAGAATCAAGGCCACAAGGGTGAGTGTGGTAGTGTGGTTTGATCACACCGGCGTTAGCGCAGAGAATGTGGCTGTTATAGTTGCCTTCTACGTGTGTAGCAGATAGTTACTTGTTGCATTCAAAACGTGTACATCGACGTTGTTCTCAATTAGCGCTCAGAAATATTGCTGTTAGGAATTTTCACACTAGCAGTGCAAGAAAGAGCTTTTCGGGGTTTCTTTTATGTTTTGTATTTTATTTTATCCCTCTTTTTTTTCTAAACTTTGCCGTTAGACCATGCACAATTTTGAAACTTAGTGTTTGCTAGGTACACTGTTCCTCGATGAGCAGTGTTGAGCTTAGTAAAACATTTTATGGGGCACTCACCAAACCCTCTATTGTTGTATAGAGAGTTGAATGTGTGCGCACAACGAATTTTGTAGTTTCTTTTGCCCTGTGTTCATTTTTGTCACTATGGCATTGACATTTCTTCTGTGAATTCGTTTTTCCAACGAATTGTAGGTTGGCGAGATGTTTATTATGCGTGCGAGAGTTGTCCTCCTATTCACTCTAGATGGCGTCATTACTTTTCAGGCTACTTATGTATAGCCACATTGTAGATACTGTAAACACACATTGTTAGCTCGTTATCTGAAGAAACTTTGGGTGAGCTTTAAATGTTAAGCACCTCTTGTGAACTCTTACACAAGTACAGCAGTGTACGAGCCGCTTCCATTAACGTGACGTTGATAAGTATGCCGATTGTTTCGGTGCTGTGTACAGTTTATATATAAAGGGGAAAAAAGTCGGAATGGTGAATCTGTTTAGTACGTTAGCAGATGTTGTCCTCCTTGTGCATAATAAGAAGGCATAGAGGTGCTCTTGCATTAGATTTTGTGGCACCAACACTTCTCACCGAGTACGTACACACAGCTATGTTTGCAAGGTGTTCGCGGTGTTTACTGGGCAAGTGAATATCACCTCCTGCACGAATCAACACACCTGTACTCGTGGATTCTTCACCTACCACGTCGACCTAGAAGTGCGTGGGCATCAGTGCCAATGTTAAACTGTGGATTAAACTGTCTTGCAGTGTTGATAAATATCAGTTCACTTGTGCGACAAATTCTGCTGCACTGATTTTCCAAGTGCTGTGCTGCCGTCCAAAGTTGTTTTATTGCTCTCAAACTATCTTGCTGATGTTACGATGCTTACAGGCTTTTTCGCTGATGACCACTTTGGCTACAAAACGTGGAAGACAGTGAAAATGACATCTGGCTAATTGTTTCTTGTTACAGGGCATACAGTTTGTAAAGTCATGTTAGAATTGTGGTCCAATGCCTTCAATGCCTCGTGAGATGTCGTTGTGTTTATAACATTGTGTTATGTTGATTTTAAAAGCCAGTATGGCTTGAGAAAATAATTCTTATTTTCTAGCTATACAACTTAGCTTCATTTCAGTTCAAGTTAGCAACAGAAAAAAATATATCAATCGGGGTGGCTTTTCAAGTTTCAAAGCCATGCAATACGCAAGCTCAAAGACTGATGTTCGAGACTGTTCCATATCACTGTCCACCGAAACGATTCCTTAAACAACTTTTGGTAATATTTTGCGGACGCATTTAACCCTACTGACAAAAGTAAAAGTGAGGTGCTAGTGTTTAGTTGTTTAAATTTTTCTTTTTAATATTTTTAGTAGTTTTACTATAAGCGTATGCATTGTAATAACTATGAAAAGACCCTTATTACTGTTTGACCATTAGCAACCAAAAGGAAAGTCCTATATTGAAGAAAAGTTTCATTCTACATAACATTCTGGCTCATTCTGTAGTGTTGTAAGACAGGACATATGCATATTGCAGCAATTGGCAAGTTGGGCCAGATGGATTACGTTAATAATTGAAAATTTGTTGAAGCACACCGAAAACCGACAGACAGGAGAGGCTGACAGCCTCTTCTGTTCATGTGTTTTTTTGGTGTGCTTCAACAAAATTTTTCATTATTAACTTATGCATATTGTAGAAAAGTGTAGCAATAGATCCAAACTTGTAGTGAACATGGATATAAGGAAATACTGGTTATTTCTACACCCTGTAGGAACAGAGCGTCACTCTCACTCTACTTTAAAACGGTGTATCGTAATTTATAAGCACAAAATATAGAAATACACAATTCACAATGTATTCATGTCCGTAAGTTGTAATTTAGATTGTGATTTGCAGAAAGCATCACATAAGAATCACCTGAACTATGCAGTGCAGTGCTTTTATAGTTTGGCTTGGGATAAAGGAATTTTTCTTTTTAACTTTTGATTTGGAAAGTTTTGACTCCCTTGGAAGGTGCAGCGCTGTTTTTATGTTGCTGCGCAGAAAAAGAAAATACGATTTCTGGTGTCATGGCAGCTTTGAAATTATGGAGCTCATCTCGTTCTTTTAGTCAGTTTCTATTTTTCATCGCTGTTTTCACTGTTCAGTCTTTTTGTCCTTGGATTCTGCTTGCATACATCTGAACATGCCCATTTCTGTTTTGACATGCTTTGGTTTGTTGGCCTTTTGTTCAGATCATGGGAGGAAAAGGCGTCCACTTTCAACATACTAGTGCAGCTGCAGGCCACGCACAAATCTTCGTATGTTTATTACAACGACCGTCCACACGCTAGTCCCTATGGTGGCACTCATGTTGTTTCGAAGATGCCTTCCTGTTTACACAGGCACAAAATGTGTTCTTGGAGTTAGACACAAGTTATTTACCAGTTTATCATTTTGTTTTTGTACAGGCATTAGAGATAGGAAAGTCTATGCACCGACGAAATAAAGGCCAGCCCTTAAATGCATTCTGTCAGGGGTTCTAATGCTGCACTATTTACTATTTTTTTTGAAGTGCACAAACAACGAAACTTAGTTCACTGAACCTACCTCTAGAAATTTTTCTTGCATTGCATCAAGACCTGTGATAGCATGCCTATGTGCAATTTCTGCCCACTTTCTCGACGCAGTTTTTGGAGCATGTGTTATGTGAAATGTGGTTTTTATGCATGTAAAAAAAAATCTTTGTTCTTACTGTTGTTCAGGTTCATGCCATTACAGTTGCCTGGAACATCTTAAGAAACTATGTATCCCTGTTTGCTTGAGCTAAGTGATGTGGAAGTTGTAATGTAACTGGCTTGTTGCAATACTGAATGACTGCCTTGGAGTGCCTTGTGATGGCGCAGGTATCTGTACCACACAAAATGGCTCTAATCTTTTTATTAAGGCATGTGTAATTTCAATTACACCGTTGTCAAAACAGCACCTTTCTTTGCTGGATGTGTTACGTTAGCGCTGTTGTTTGTGCTAACACTGTGAGCGAATGTGGCAAATGAAAAATGCAGCATACTCCTCTAGATTGCAGATTTTACAGAGTAATGTTTAGATGATGTGTTCAGTTTTTGAGGTGCAAATGTTGGCAACTACCTGGGCTGATGTGTGAATTAAAGGAATATTTTTAGCAAACTTGCTATTCACGTGACTCCTACCTCTTCAATGTGATGTTTCCCTAAATGATGCATTCTTGAAAAGTTGCCCTGTTATGAACACGGATTTAAGGAAATATTGGTGATAACGACCTGAATTTCTCTCTGCGTAACCCTTTACTGACGAGACATTAAATAATTAAACAAACTTTTATTTCTGATATATTTATTTATTATAGGATTACGAAGCACACACTGCAAGCACAAAGCATAGCTGCATTTGCATGCCGAGATCCATCTTCACTGCCTGTGGGCAACACTAGGCACGAGTCCTAAAGCAGGCTCTATTGCCGTGATTCCTACGGGTCAGTGTGAACCTTCCGAAGACACTTTTTCACGGCATGAAACAGAGATGCACACTGCACTTCCTGCACATTACTCGTGTGGTACCTGTGCGTTTTGGTTATTTGCAGCGGCCGTTCTTTTGGGAGAAACGTTGGGAGGTGATCAACAGTGTCCAGCCTGACCTCACGGAGCAAGAGATGTTGGTCCACGCCGTTTCTTCGCCTGCTGTGCATTATCCCCTCTTGTTGGGGCAAAAGGTCACCTTCTGGAGGGTGTTGTAACCTTTCCTTGTAGCCGCACAACGCATGAAATGCCTGCTTTGAGGGAGAGAATGGTCACTTGCTTTTTGCGGGGCACGTCAGCGGCACTCTGATCTCGGCCCCAGATGAATGTTCGCTGGTACTATTTTTCGATCGTAGTTGGATGCAGCAGTTGGATGCAGTTGGAGCATGTCCATAAGGTCTAGGCTACCCATAGGTTCCTTGTAGACAGCGACAAAAAGAGGCTTGTCTACCATTGTACATGCCTTTTTGTCAAAGCTTTGATAGGATGTTGCAGCGATGCAGAAGCAAATGCAGTAGGGCCATGTAGTGTTTGTTGAACCACTTCTCGGCCCTCGAGCTCACTCCTTCAAACGTTGGCTCCATCTCAACATACCAGACACAGCCCTTGCCCTGTTGTCCTTGTCCGGATAGAAGTTAATGTCTTCTAAGTGAGTCTCCTGCACTGCGCCCACAGAACGAATGGCAACTTTTTTTAGTATTACCTACAAGTTCGCATTACAAAACCAGTTGTCAAAGTACAGAATGTAGTTAAGGTCACATGGCACGAAACTCGATAGCCTGAGAACGTTGTTGCTGCTGGCGCTGATGTCTGGAAAACCCGGCTGCTGAAAAATTTTGCCCTTCTATACCTCAAAGTTGTACATGAGTCCACATCGTCGCAAGCAGGAATAGTTTGTCGCCCTATTCTTGGGCTTGTTTGGAAAGTATTGCTTGAGTGAACTGTGGCCTTTGAAAGAAAGTAAAAAAAAAAAATCAGCAGATCCCACATACCTTAGGAATTGATGTTACGCGAAGCATGCGCATGCAAGGTGGCTGTGTAGTGATAATTTATTGTGCGAAGCGTTACGAACTTGCCCTAAAGATACATAAAAAATGCACACATATACATACGGTAAACAGCTGCTTATGTTTTACATTACCAGTTGTTTACAGTTGTGTAGTGATGCCAATAGCAACATGGATATTAGCAACACCTGAAGCATTAGGCTTATGTAAAGCGCTGCTACTCGTGAGGATCGTAGCCCTGGACACTGCTACATGAATAAATTAAGCGGATGACACCTGACTGCAATTGATGTTAGCCCAATGTGACGGCTGTATCGTAGAAGTACATATGTAATGTTCATAATATTGGAAAGCCAGCATTGCAACTAAATAGGCATTTCACGATCATTAGGGTTTATTTGAAATGTAGTTCTGAGACCTGGCGTGGCTCTGTGGTAGAATGCTTGATTGTCATGCAGACTGCTAGGGTTGGACTCATATCAGTGGCACATCCCGTCCCCGTGAGTTTTACGTCGTTAACTGTTTGTACGTCGTCAAACACTTTCCACTGTTTTTTGGAAAGTGTTTGACGATGTGCGTGGCTGTATTGTGACATTATTTCTATCATAACCAGCGAGCCGTATCTGTCAAACTATTTCACCCTCCCATACTAGTTTTGGTTCATGCCAAGTTAAGGGTAGACTTGGGTCGTGAAATTTTTTAATAATTATCTGAAATAAATGAAACTTGGTAAACGTATTCAGAATCAGAATCAGAATCAGAATCAGAATTTTTTATTAATAAAATTCGGTACAAGTGACAGGAATTTAGTATACAGAAGGAGGTCCCATAGTCAAGTGACTGTATCGGGACCTCCTGTACAAATGCAATGAGTTATTAAACACATTAAAGCAACAGGAGCGTAAGTATAAATCAAAGCGTACAACTGAGCGCATAAAAAATAGAGAAAACAAAATAAAGGTGTGAAGTACAAAAAAAAAAAAAGCGATAGAACAGTTTAACAATCAATATACAAAACTAAATAATAAAAGGAAATAAAAAAAAACAAATAAAAAGAAATACAAAAAACAGACCAAACAAAAGCATACGTCAAATAAAACAAGCAGTAAGTCTTATGGTTAGTCCGCATGAAGCAAATACAATTTATACTGTTTCTTAAATTGATGAAATGAACTGATAGATTTTATGTTAAGTGGAAGAGTATTCCACAATGAGATAGAAGTGAATTTAACAGTTTGTTTGCCATAATTAGTACGTATACTGGGTAGAAGGAAGTTGTTGTTTAGTGCAAATCGGGTATTACTATAAATAACAAGATCAGAAGACGGGAAAATGGTAGGGGGAAGTTGATTATTAAGAAGTCTGTAGAAAAAAATGCCAAGGTTGAATTTAGTAAGTTCAGTGAGAGTAAGGATGTTATTTTCATGTAGTAAAGATTTAGCATTAGAAAAACGTGGGCTGGATGTAATTAGTCGAATAGCATGATTTTGGACGATTTGAAGAGACGAAATGTGAGTATTGTAAGTATTGCCCCAACATGTTATACCGTAGGTAAAATGAGAATGTACGAAAGAGTGATAGAGGGATAGTAATGTGCTGCGTGAGAAGTACGGGCGCGTTTTGACCAAGACTCTTATACCATATGCTAATTTTTTTTTATGTGAGCAATATGTCTCTGATATTTTAAATTGCAATCTAGAAGGATGCCAAGGAAGGAAGAAAATGAGCAAGGAGAGATAGAGTGGGGGCCAAAAGTAATATTAGGTGCTGATGTTACATTCCGCTGGTGTGAGGTGAAAACAACAAACTTGGTTTTAGAAGCATTAATAGACAACATATTAGTATTACACCATTTGAAAATACTTTCTAAGTCAGTATTCAAAATGGTTACAAGAGATGAGATGTCTTTATGAGAGGTGAATATGGTGGTATCGTCGGCGTACAAAATGCATTGTGATGAAGACAGACACTTGGGCAAATCATTAATATAAATCAAAAACAGAAGTGGCCCCAAAATGGAGCCTTGGGGCACACCAATGTTAGTGGTTCGCTGTCGGGAATAGACGTTGGAAATAGAAACAACTTGAACTCTGTTGTGTAAGTAGCTTTTTAGTAATGAAAGAGCAGGGCCGCAAATGCCAATGGACTCCAGTTTAGTGAACAGAATATTATGATTTATGCTGTCAAATGCTTTTGTTAGATCGATGAATATTGAGGCAACTAGGCATCCTTCGTCTATTAATTTTTTTATCTGATCAGTAAGATGAATAAGCGCCATCTCTGTTGAGTAGCCATGGCGAAAACCAAACTGAGAGGAAGAGATAATGTTAAACTTGGAAAGATATTTAGTTAGTCGTGTCTCAATGAGTTTCTCAACCACTTTTCCAAGGAATGGTAAAATACAAATAGGACGGTAGTTGTTTAGTAATGATTTATCCCCCTTTTTAAAAACAGGGATAACTTTGCCACGCTTCAATTCATAAGGGAATACACCATTCTTGAACATCAAATTAACAATAAATGAAAGAATGTCTGATATTATATGCACAATAGATTTTATGTTAGCAGGATGGATCTCATCTATGCCAGCACTAGTCATTTTTAAATTACGAATAACATCAGTTATTTCATCCGGTATTGTAGGAAATAAAAAGAATGAGTGGGGTAAGCGAGAAGTGTTAATGCTTTCTGTAGGAGAATTGGTATTATCAGGGAAGAAGAAGTTGCTAAAAGCCTCAGCTACTTCTGAAGGGGAATCATATTCTACTCCATCAATTATAATTCGACGTACCTCGTCTTGTCTCGAGTTCCTGTTTAAAAAAGAGTTCACAATCTCCCATTTCTTTTTAGTGCTAGAAGCATGTTGGATTCTTTCTTCAAAATAAAGTCTTTTGGCAGTTTTAAGTTTGTAGTTAAGAGCATTGCAGAAGATTTTATATCG